TCCCAATTGTGAATTGAAGACATAAAAGATGGCCCTGACCCACTGAGGTCAAATTCAAGTCCAGTCTTCTCAACTCTGCTTATGGGATCCAATTTGGTCTCCTCTTGGCCTGGCTGATCAGCTGTGGCTTGCTGAGCCGAGGGACAGCTCTGAACCTAGTCAGGGAGCAGCGTTCTGTGTCTCCATTCCTCCAACTACACTGTCCTCAGTGAGAGGGAAGATGGGAATGGAGAATGAGGAAGGGAACAGAGGGAGCCCGTTGTGTGCTCTCTGAAGTTCTCAGAAAACTGAGTGACCAGAGATGTGTCAGGGTGCTCACATGTGGCCTGTGGACCCAAGAGACAAGGACACCACCACCTGGGAGCAGGACTCAGCTGTTCCCCTCTAGCCCAGAACAGACCTGAGCTGGCAACTCCTGACACAGGTTGAAGACATGAACTCCGAGTCAGAGAGTTCTGGGTTCAAGACCCAGTGCTGGTCTGAAAATTTCTGGATATATAGTTTTAGGTAAGAAAATAAACATACCTGTAAATGGGAAAAACAATATCACCTACTGCCTTCCAGATATAAGGAGATATATAACTGTGTATAAAATGTTTGGGAAATGCCTGGCTTGGAATATAGTACCAAGTCCAAGGTAAAGCAGACATGTTTGGATTTATCTCAAGCCATATTTAACTATGATTGGTTGATACAGATGATCAAAGCTTGTTACCCTCACAGAGCTTCCAACCCATTATACAGATTGGCAATCTTCCCCTAGGTCTTGATTTTCCTAACTGGGAATAAAATATAGGTTGCCTCTTCCTGGGCTGCCCCACTTCCTGGCTCTTGGTGGGAAGAGTGGGACTCTATACACAGGCTAGGATACTTCTGGGATCGCTCCTTCCATGACTCTGGGCTGACTCAGTTGCCCAAAGGGAACCCTTCTAGAAATTCTACCTCCTCTCTCAAATTATTTGTATAACCCGTAGCCAAGGCCTCCCAGAGATGAGGCCGAAACACTGACATGATTTATAACTTCATACAAACCTCCCGCATTGCTTTCATAGGAAGGAGCAAGAACCTCAGACATAAATGATTAATCCATTAAATTAAAAATACCCTCGACCTCCCCACAGTTCAAACAAGCCATGATTCATTTCCAAAACACCCTAATAATCTCCAAATCTGTTTATTACTCCAGCTTGGTGCTTTTGCGACTATACCTCTTCCTTATGGACATATTTGTGCCGCCTTTTACCTTGGCAGTGATAGATGTTTCCCAAAGAAAATGGGCCTTTGTGTTATGTATTCAAATGTCTTCGCTTGAAGATTTTTGCAAATTTAAAAGAAAATGAATGTGTCTGCTCAGAATATATTAATTTTAAATTATTTCTAGTGTGCAGATTAACAGGAGAGGAAGAGGGAGAATCAGGACCATGGAAAAACAGTTGTGCCCTTGCCATGTTACTGACAAGAAGCTGTGGTCTTTCCTCTTGCTCTGACAGGGCCCCTGAAACTTCAGAGACCCCGCACAGTTGCCTCCCTGCCCAGGGTTCTCCTCAGGCTCTCCTTGGCCTAGCCAGAGGCTGACTCCAGAGCTCTGGCACCGTAGGAGCTACAGCTTCTTACCACAATGAACAGGGCTGGGCAGGTGCAGGCCAGGAGCTCACTCCGAGCCTGGGCTCTTCCTCCCCAGCCACAGCACAGAGATACCTCATCACCTAGCAGAGGACAGGTGGGTCCTATAGTTGAACACTCACCCAACTGAGCACTGATTTTTTTTTTTAATTCCTCATGCCAGTGTTTTCCTCAGTGAGTGATCAGTTCAAGGCAAGTCAGCTTCCTGGTAAAGCTGCTCAGTGTGGGGGCTTTGCCTTCCATGTCACAGCCCCCTTTGTG